AAAAACAGAGTCTTTGACTAAGACATTTGGAGCAAAAAACAAAAAATACAACTGGATCTACTGACAGATTTGTTTCCCTTTTGATGGAGACTTGGCTGTTCTGTAAACTAAGCTATCAAAAAAAACCCCCAACCTTTACACTCTTAGAAAAAAAAAAAAAGGAAGTTGCTGCCAATCAGCTTTGTCAAAGTCCATGTTACTGTTAGTACTATCATTCTGTCCTTTCACAAGTCCTGAACAAAGTACACACATCAAGCAAGTCTGAAAAAGGGTTGAATTCAACAAGACAAAGGACTTTTATTGGAGTATTTTGATGGGCAACCACACCCTTATTCTCATAAACTCTTCAAAAACGTTTCCAGAATCCAGCTCTCCCTTGCTTCCTAAGACTACAACCTAAAACCAGTGAAGATGGTCACCCAGTGTTGTGATAAAGAAAAGTCTCCCATAAACAGTGTCTTTTAGGGATAATCAAAGGCAATTAACTTGTTTTTGTTGCTCAAAATCTGTTAGGGCATAGAAATTGAGAGGTATCAGGGACACTGTAAAGATCACTGGGTTCAGAGTTAGAGGACCTGAGTTCAAATCCAGACTGCCACTTACTAGCTCTATGTCCTCAGATCTCCATTTCCTTATTTGGATTAAATGACCTAACCAACTCTAAATCTAAGAACCTACAAATTGGGCCCAAAGTTCTTTTCCCCACTAAATATGACTATTAGTTAAAGTGAAATTTAAAAACACTAAATTCTAAACATCTATCATTGCAAAAAAAATTTCTCCTAAGTTTAGGAAGTCACTCTGGCTTCTACTTTTCCCTAAACCCCCTAATTGCTAATAATCTTCCTATGTTATACATCGAGGTGTCCTGAAGGAGAGTCAGAGAGTAAGGGGTTAATCACCTCTACCACCTCCCCCTCAGATGCATGTGGTGATAGCCTAGGACCCTTTGACCAAAAGTCTCCAGAATATTGTCCCTCTGGCCTTTTCCAGGCTGACCTGCATAGCCACCATTCATGGGGGCAATACTTATGGAGAAGGGACCCAACATCCCCACCAATACCAATTGTTGATCACTACAATGAGCAGGTAAGCCCAACAGCTCCAGACTACAAGCTGTGTTTCCAGCTGGCCCCCGTAGTCCTCATCCAGAGGAACAATCCTTGTGAACATTTAGAACTCTGCTGTCTTCTCAGGCACCAGTTACTGTTACTCAGTTACTCAGTTACACCAGTTACTCAGGCACCACCAAAGGCCCCAGTACCATCAAATGGCTCAACATCAGAAACAGACATGATATTGTCAAAGGAACCAATACTAGAAAATACATTACCAACTATTTTGCCACCACACCCTAAAAACCACTGGCTCCTTTCCATCTGACTTGCCCCCAAAACTCCCTGTGTGTTCTTTCTCTCACTGGAATGTGAACTCTGAAAGACTGCCTTACTTTTTTCAATTTGTATCCCTGCACTGAGCACAGTGCTTTACACATAATAAAGGCTTAATACATACTTTCATTCATATGTTTGTTCCTGCCAACTTCACCACTCCCGACCCCAGTTCCCCATTTGTAAAATGAGGAATTGAATCAGATGACCTTTGAGGTCCCTTCTGGCAATACATGAAAATTGTGTATCATCCCCTACCTAGACTATAAGTTCCAAGAGGGCAAGGACTCTTTGTGGTTCATTTAAACTTTATATCTCCCCTGCCTTAGCACAGTACTCTGCTAATATTAATGGCTTAAGAAAGCCAACATTTTCTAAGAGGGCAAAGAAAGAGAACCAAATACTTTAAAAAGGCATGTGTAGTGTAAAAATGGTTTATTCAGAGCTAAAATAATTCTGATGAGAGGCCATACAAGTGTTCCGAAAATCCAGGAAAAAACAGGTTAAATTGTGGATTGCTTTCTAGTCACACTCAATTGTAGCATATCCTAGCTTTGAGGAGGCCATCATGGGATATCAGTAGTTTTACTTGAGAGACATTCTATGCCATAGTATAACCATGTAGTCTATTTGGCTTTTCCTTATCCTCTGAAAGTGAACATACAAGATCTTTGCACTTGGTGTGTTCTCATTTCGGCTGCTTATTACTCATCTGTGCAGAGAGTCGTTTCATATAATCTGGAAAGCAACCAGGTTGGCAAAAAGAGAAGTAAATAGCAGCCAAAAATATGCTCATAGAATAAGGACTGATTACTTCCAAGTGTCATTAGTAACAACTCACTTCCACAGCATTTAAGTGTTGGGGTTGTTTTAAGTACTTTCCTTGAAACAATTATGTCAGGTCAGTATTTTTATTAACCAGATCTGAGAATCCACTGAAGCAGAGAACCTCTCTAACAATGCACATCTGCACTTCGGAGTCTTAGGGCGTTGCCTGCTCACTGAGATGTTAAAAGGACTTGTCCAGGTTCACACAACCAGGGCTTGTCAGAGGCAGCCCTTCAACCTAGGTCTTCCTGACTGCAGGCTAGCCTTTCCAATCTAAGGAATGCAAGCATTTGATATCCTCACATTGTTATAGCTTAAGAAACACTCATAAGTCAAATGACTTGCCCAGAATCACACAGCTAGTTGAGTAGAAGAGCTGGGACTAAAATCAAACCCTGGTTCTCTTTCTTTCACAACAGGCTTGAAACAAAGTAGAATTATTTTTAAATACACCAAGCCTTCACCACCACCCCCACCTCACAAGTTCACTAACACTTTAAAAGCACAACATACTTGGTTTATAGCCAGAGATCTTATTTTCGAACAAAGAAGCCAACATATTCAGTTATCATTACAAAGCTGGGACTAAATATTTAAAGGTGCTAGTTTACCTTCTAAGTTCTCATGCTAATTGAGAAACTGTGACCACAAGGGGGAAGTTCAATCTCTTTAACAATTAGCCCTGCCTCACTTATACTTGGGCCTAAAAATAGCAACTGTTAACCCCTTTCAAATATAAAAATGCCCTTAAGTGAAAGTGGCCCCAGCTTAATAGATTAACTTTCTTACAATTAGGAATGCTTATAATATCGTCACCAGATGTTAAGCATCTAAATTATCTTTTGAAATTTTAATAGTTTGAGGTGTGATTTCTCAAGCCTTGATCAATTTTAGGAAAAGCCATCTTAAAAAAAGAATATTTACTCCTGTAACATTGAGCCCTGACAAAACAGGTTAACATTTTTAAACTCTTGTGCTAAAGATACATAATGCATAAACACTTTCTAGTGTCTAGTTTGTTCAATATCCTGGAAAAAGTCAAATCATCATGTGAAGGTTGCTTACCACCTGTACTGTCCTTAGACCAGTCACCCTCTCTGGGCCTGAGTTCTCTAGACTCTTCTAGGTCTAGAATTATACTCCCATGATCATCAGTTTACTAGTTTTCCTTAAACTTTCTCAATTTTCCGTTACCTTTTGTAACCAGTTCAGAATCCTGTGATCTACTTACTCATTTCAATTCATAAAATTATAATTTACTATAGATTTCTATAACACTATACTGTTTTAAAGCATCAGTCAAGTGTTTTGCAATTACACTTTCATTATCAATCTACTCCTCTTTCTCCACTTAACCAGCCGCTAATGCAAGCCCTCTTCCCCTTTCACCTGCATTATTTTTATAGCCTCCTAATTGGTCTCCTTGTATCCAGTTTCTCCCTCCTCCAATCAGTCCTTCACGAAGCTGCCAGATTGATATTCCCAAAGCAGAAGTTTGATCATGTCAGTCATTCCCTCTGCTCAAGAAGGTCCAATGACTCCCTTTTGCCTCTGGAATCAAATGCAAACCCTTCCATTGGGCTCTTAAAAGCTCTTCACAATCTGGCTCCATCCTAGCTTAGTGCACATTAATCCCGTTTTTTGGTTTTGTTTTTTTTTTGCAAACTGTCTCCCTATAGACAGATTGCATTCCTCCTCACTTGGTATTTATGGTTTACTTGAAGACTCAGCTTGGATCCCAATACCTACAGGAAGCCCATCCCAATTCTCTACCCCCTGGCAAACTACCCTGTATATAACTTTTAGGGGTAGACATTTTTTACCTCAATTAGAATGTAAACTTTTTGAGGGCAAAAGTGTGGAAGGGGTTGCATTTATATTTCCAATACCCAGCACATAGTAGGTGCTTGTTGAGGAATGATTTATTCTTCAGAACTAGATTTTACTCTTCTAGACAAAAAGCTCACTTGCATAAAGCTATTAATTTCAGTTGTAGTAGGGAGACAATTGATTTTGGTTGCCATCACTTTGTATTAGCCATGACCCAAATACTGATGTCACCAATTAGCAATTAAAGTCAGAAAGTCAGTCTACTAGTAGTAAGTATACTTCCTACAATTTGCCTACTAGCTTCAATGGCCACCTCCTCTGATCTATGTATCTCTTGCTATTTTTTTTGACACCTTTACAAGACAGCAGAAAAAAAAACTAACTCCAAAAACATTTTTCCCACCTTAAGACAGGTGGGTTATGAATGATCTTCCTCACATTCCCAAGAGAGAAAAAATTTCAATTGCCTCATGAACTGAAAAGCTTCCAACACTGGCATGGCTAAACAATTTTTCTTTTTAAGTTAAATTAGACATGGCAACAGATTGTCAACTAATTCTCAGGAGCTACATTATAATTGGCTGTGTAGTTTTTCCATAAACCTATTTATTCTACTTCAAAGTACTGGAAAAGACATTTTAGTGGAAGGGATAAAAAGATGCTAATGGGAAATCCTACAGCCAGAGAATTGATATACCCCCTTCAGATGGGGTTATAGAAAACTTTAAAGAATTAAAGAAAATTAGTCCAACCTACACTGATGTTTCTCATCTACTTAATAGGAGCCCCAATTTAGGCTATTTCGGTATTGGGACAAATGAGAATGGACAGTAAACAATAGTCTGTGGAAGGCTGATTATTAAGAACCACATGCTTTTTTTTGCTCACCCAGGCAGGCCCCGTTTCTCCTCCCAATCCCAAGTAGGTTATTATAGAAAAGGACACAGTGAAGTTGCTTCAAAATATTTAATACGTGTTAGACACGTAAACTTACATTTTATACAAAAAAGTCAATACACGAAGAAAATACTGTACAAAAATTCTACAAGTACCCCAGCCTTTATACAACAAAGACGGGAGTAATCAAATCTACTAAGCCATAAGACCTTTCCATTAGGGCATCTGTAAACTTTTTCATTAAACACTTTTTAAAAGCACTGTGTAATAATTCTGACCTAGAGCTTTTAAAAATATATATATGTATTTATATATATATATCCTTATAACTCAGTATTTCTAAGCTTGATCTCTTCTAAGAAGCTTATCAAGCTTTCTTATGGGGGGGGTGGGAGGGTGCTGAGGGAGAAGGGTGAGACCGTGGAGTTTGTCAAGAAGAAATTTTCCCTCCCACCCCCAAGAATTAGCTCTAGGATAAGAAGAAGGGGCCGCAGAAGAGCAGGCTCCAGCCTGAGCCCATCTCCCCGAAAGGAAGTCGAAGAGGAAGGTGCTGGGCTGGAAGGGAGGAGTGTGTAGAAAGTCCCTTCCTCCCCCGGGAAGGAGGGGGCTCCCCCGGTCCCCCGGCCGGGCTGCTTCCTTCTCGACGCCGGCGGAGGAAAGTCCCGGCTCCACGCCTTCCCCAATGTCTCGAGCCCCAGACAAGAAACCCTGTGACAAAAAAAGCCTTACTTCAACAATAAACTTACAAAAAACAGCTTTATAACACAAGCCCCCGCGCGCCGGAGGGGCCCGACGGGGGTGGCAGAGTCCCGCTCGCGGCTCGCCCCCGGGCAGGTCCCGCTGCCCAGCCGGCTCCGGAGGGGTCGCGTCGGGCCAGGGGCGGGGCCGCGCTGGGGCGGGGGCTGGGCAGCGCCGCGTCAGTCTCCTCCTCCGCGCCCCCTCCCCCGCCCGGGCCCCGGGCGATCAGAAGGCCACGATGGCAGTGCTCCAGGGGTTGAGGTTTCTTAACACCGGCTTATCGCAGTACATGGGCCCGGGCTCCGCCGCTTCCGGACCTCGCTGCGGCTCCTCCTCCTCCTCCTCGCCGTCCTCGTCCTCCCGGCCGCCCCCGGGGCTTTTGCGCAAGAGTCCGGAGAAGCTGGAACCGAAGATGGTGATGAGGTTGGCCACGTTACCGGTCTCCATCTCCTCCTCGTCGCCCGGCTGCTCCTCTGAGTCTCTGCGGGGCTTCTTCACTGGGGAGCCGCCCGAAGCCAGGCACCCCGCGGGGCCGCCCCCTGCCCCCGAGGCGCTCCTTTTCCGGGGGCAGACGGGCGGCGGCGGGGCCCCGTCGTCTGGACGCGGGCGGCAGCCGCAGTCGGCCCGCGGGGCGCCGTGGGGAGAGCAGCAGAGGCGGCGACAGCAGCACTGCCGCGCCCGCGGCGGCCCCTCCAGGGCGCCTTCTCCCCCGCCGCCGCCCCTCTCCGCCGCCTCCACGCGGCGCCTCGGGGCTTCGGGCACCGCCTCGGCTCTCAGCAGCGGCGACCCCTCGAGCGAGCGCTTCCCGAGCGCCAGGGGCAGGGCAGGCGGCTCGGGGGCGGCGCCGGCGGGCTCCGGGTCCTGCTCCATGCTGCTGTCCCTCGCGTGCGGCTCTCCCCACCCCGGGGCCGGCTCCCCAGGAAGCTGCTCCTGCGCCGGCGGCGGCTGCGGGGGTCCCCCCACCCCAGGGCCGCCCAGGCAAGGGTCGCTCAGGTAGACCTGGCGGGCGCTGCGTAGCACCAGGGACACCAGCAGGTTCTTGTGGAGTTTGATGCCGCCGCGTTGAACCCTCGAGTTGTAGATCTTGCCCAGCGAGATGCTGACGATCCGGTGAGCCTCCAGCTTGAACTCCATCCTCCCTCACTCAGGCGCCTCCGCAGCTCTAAGGAGTCTGATTCACGGGGGGCTACCCTCTCGTCCCGTCAACGGTGAGGGTGTGGGGCCGGAGGCGGAGACGCTTCAGCTCCTCCCTCAGCCCAAACCGACTGAACAAACAACCAGGACAACGGCGACGCGAGCTCTGACCCCCTTTCTCACGACCACGACGGACAACACAGCAGCTTAGCAACCAGTCCCGCCGCTAACTGAGAGGAGACGGGCGACCCGGCGGCTTTATATAGCCCTCTCGCGCCAGCCAATCAGACGGGACTAGCGACCGTTCCGACCGGTTCGGGGAGAGCTCGCGCTCCCACGTGCGCCTCTCTGAGCCAATCAGAGGCCGAGGACGGGAGACAGGGCAGATTCGAACGTTAGTCCCGCGGAGCCCTCTCTTAAAGGGGGAAACAGCGTGGAAGAGGAAGCGGCTCTCGAGGGGGGAGGGGAACGAGAAGGCAAAGTCCCCAAGGTGTCACCTCTCTGGGAGCTCGGGCGTCCTGGGAAGAGGCGGGGGAAAGCCAGCGCCAGCCCAGGCCTTTGTTCGGTTGTTTGTGTGGTTGGGAGTGTGTTCAGGTGTGTACTGGACACAGCTGGATTCCCAGAGTTGAAGCTGGCGCTCCTAACGGTAGTTCCCCTGCCGCCGCAACCCCGACTCCCCACCCCCCAAAAAACCCCGGCAATGTATAAGTGTCCTTCAAAGAGACATCGCCACCCGGGCCAGTAAAAAGAGCGTTGGAGGCTGAGAAGTCTGAGTTCGAAATCTGGCTCTTTGGCAGTCGCTCAAACCTCCCCGGACGTCGGTTTCCTCGTCTGTAAAGGAGGGGGCAGGCTCCAAGGCCTCCGAGGTCCTGTCCAGCTCTAGAGGAAGGGTCAGGATTGGCTTCCTGACTGCGCCCCTCCCCCCACACTGTACTCGGACACACACCCTTTCCCTCTCACTCCACCCTTTCCCCCTCCCACCCCCCGTCCACGCCTACTCGAGAAGTAATTCCATTTTAAGAGACTTTGCTAAGTAAGTTTTGGGGCTGGTGTGAGGCGTGGGAACACGACCGTACAGTGTTTATTACTTGGCCCGGAACCTGCCAGACTCCCGCTCTTGTCTAGGTACCTAGTCCCTAACTTGGGTCAATCCCGACAGACTTTTGCGTGGCCCCGAATAAATCAGGGGAACATAAGTTCTCTGGTTTTCTCCAGCAAAGTTTTCATCAGCTTGCTGTCGCCTAGTCATGTCTTCTGCCAAGGCTGTTAGTTCTTGGTGTGTAGCACATATTGTGAGACAGCAGTCCTTCAAAAAGCAGAGCAAAACTTCAGAATTGGGCGGGTCACTAATAGTGCTGAGAAGTCTTGTTTTCATAGTGTGGGTCATTACAATTTGATGTGTCAGAAGACCAAAATACTTTGGGGTCATATGCCAGGCCTAGAATTCTCTGAACAGTAAATCTCTTTCCCCATTCTACATTTAAATGACATCATTGCTGTATGTATTAGAGAACTGTCCTCACTTAGGAGAGCTAAGTTCTAGTGTGACTTGAATGTATGTGACTGTAGGCAAATCACTTCACTGCGACTTAATTTTACTTTTTTTTTTAAAGGAGCTTTTTAAAATAGCTTCCATACATGTAGGTAAGGGAAAGTGTTAAGTAAGTTCGTGAATGTTAAGTGTTTTGAGCTGATTGAAAGACAAATACAATGTCATTTCAAGATACAGATATGCCTTCATTTAAGAAAAGCCAAAATACAAAAAAATCCAAACTTAGAAAACATTTAAATTAAGGAGCAATTACTTTCATTCCAAAAGCATATTCACACAGTCTCTTCAAATAGCAACTCCTCAAAGTGCATTCAAAATATAATTTTAAGATTTTCTTTACACAAAACATTTCAGTAACACATAGAGCTCATAAGATTTAGCACTTGAAGGGTCACAGGTAATAATAGAGCTGGAATTCAAACCCAATTCCTCTGCCTCCACATCTCCATATTTAATAAAACAAGATACATCTTTATTTGATTCTTCTTTGTGGTTACAGTAAAGATGTGAAATGGAGGGATTGTATTAGATTACCTCCAAGGTAATCTCTACTAGTTCTAAAGCAGGGATCCTATTAATAAGATGTGGTAAATTAATAAGACAAGGATAAATACCCTACACACTGAGGTAGTGTTGAATGTCCAGAATTGAATTGAGGTAGTTCTTACATTTCAACAGTCAGTAAACATTTAAATTACTACTTGGGTGCCTAGCGTTGAGCTAAATCCTGGCAATGCAAACTTTGAAAAAGAAAGACAATCTGCCCTCAAGGAGTTTACCATCTAGTGGAGGTAGACAACACACAAAAGAAAGCTGGAAGGAGGAGGGGCAGAAGGAAATTGGAGAAGTGAAGGAAATACAAAATGAGTGCTGCTGTGTGGGAAATGAATAGATGTCTGAGCTTTCAGACAAAATGGGGACAGGAAGAATGTTAAATTTGATGTCCCAGGCGCTGGGTTTGAGTCCTGACTCAACAGCGGTGAGACTGGTGGCTAATCATTTCTTTCTTTGGATCTGTTTCCTCATCTATAAAATTAAGGGGGGCTTGGGGAGAAGACTTGAACAACATGACTATAAAGGTCAGTTTCAGTTCTAAGTATGTTGGTTTGAGAATCTTTGAAGAAAAATTAATACTATTTAAAAATAATTATTTCTTCCCTTCTGAGGAAAACTAACCTTATAGACCCAATTTTTTTTAAACTGACAAACAAGAAAGCAAGGGTTGTGGGAAAGAAATAGCTTTAAGAGGAAATAAACTGACAGCTTTTTTATCTTTTATCCTCTCCACCCCACCCACCTTTTCTGAATCACTTTTTCCATTGCTACCCACATCTTTCCAAATTTTTAACCTCTTTTCCCTGTTGACTGCTCTGCTACTGAAGGATTCCTTACCTTCCAACAGTATTTATAAAGCAGAGTGAGCTCAAGGTTTCTAGGAGGACCCAAAACTCCTTCCTTTCTTAAACTACTCATGCATTTTCTTCAGTCTCCACTTCCCCCTTTAAACTATCTATAAACAGTTATGTCTGAGCTGTTTCCTACTTTGAGTTACTTTGTAAAGGTGCCATAGATTGCTTCTTTCGATTGGATATCTGCCCTTCCTTCATCATCTTCGAAGAAGAATGTGCTGCTCAATAAAGGAGCACTTTTCTAAATAGTTAAAAATGAGTATTGTATGGTATTCCTGAAATGAGTAAGTCCAAGCAACAGAATGAGAAGCATGATACTAGATAAATATATAGAAAAAAATAAAATATGTAACCAGTGGTGGCTAAACAAATTCAACACATGAATGCAATGAAATATTATTGCTCCATAAGGAATGACAAATATGAAAGTTTCTGAAAACATGGGAAGAGAGGCAGCATTGCATAATGGGTATTGGGCTGGGTTTAAATCCTGCCTCAGCCACCTTAGCTGTTTGACCATGGGTAAGTCATTCATTTATTTATTGTTGTTGAGTCATGTTGGACTCTACATGATCTTATGGATGAAGATCATGGGGTTTTCTTGGCAAAGATATTAGTTTACTGTTTCTTTCTCCAGTGTATTTTATAGATGAACTGAGGCAAATAGGGCTTAACATGCCCAGGGTCACACAGCTAGTAAGTGTTTGAGGCTCAATTTGAAGTCATATCTTCCTGACTCCAGATCCTGTGCTCTAACCACCTAAGTTGCTCCATGTCATTTACCTTCTCTTTAAAATCAGGGTGATGATGATAATATCTATCTCACAGGGTGTTTGTGAGACTAAACTGACATAATGGAGGTGGTCTGAGTATAGAGATAATCTCTTTGTCCAAGAGTAACATGATGTCACTCGTGAAGCCCCTCCTTGGAGTGAGCCCACTTCTCATTGTAATATTTATTCTCTCATTAATTGTTAACCAATCAGAGTTGATTGCTACCCTCAGGAACACCCACTCTTCCAAGAGCATATAAACTATGAGCCTGAAACCAGCCATGTCTTTGGTATTGAAGAGTGCCACTGACCTCTTTTATTAATAAAATGCTAGCATTATTAATAAAATTATCAATTACTCAGAAATTATGTCACTCAAACTTTATTCAAACCATACAATAGCCTTATAAAGAGATTATAGGATAGAAATTGCTTCCAAAGCTTTTTTGTAAACCTTTTTGTTAAAAAAAAATAGTAATTGCTTGCCTGTTCTTTTCCAATTAAACATTTATTGAGTGACAATGATGTGCTAAGTGTTTCACTGAATATTAGCACCTCATTAAGAAGCAACCTATAAATCTTTATATCACTACCAAAGTCTTCCCTTCCCCGATTCTAACTAATGTACCTTTTATAAACAAGTTTAATTCACTAGGCAAGTTGTTTTTTGTTGAGCACAGCCTATCTAAATAAACAATATAAACTAAATGGATATGAAATTCTAGAATCTATCCTCATTACTTCAATCCATATACACAAAAGCAATAACATCTTGCACTTGATATTTTGCTTAAGCAGTCTAACTATTCTTCAATTGCAAATGGTATCTCTGGCTGTAAATGTATACTCTAAATAAATACTAGTATCAGTTCTTAGGACTATCGTCAGGATTCTAGCATTTATAGAACAATTTGAAGTCTTATGAAATGAAGTGACTAGGAAATAAAAAGTCAATTATTTTGATTGCACCTACCTCCCAGGATTGTGAGGATAAAATAAGATAATATTTGTAAAGCATTTTATAACCTTAAAATGATATATAAATGCTAGTGATTATTATTATTGTGATTGTTATTTTAATTTCATCAATCATTATTGCCTCATGAAAAGTTTCAGACTTTGTCAGACTTTGGCTCAACCATTTATTGGACTTTTTTCATTAGACAAGAGATTTTAAGTTCTCTTGACCTCAGTTTCCTCATCTGTCAAACAGCAATAACATACCTTGCCCTGCCATATAGAATTGTTGTGAGGATCTGTTGAGATTATAAGGCTCATAACAAAGGACTGAAAACATAATTGAAACTTTAATGACCTGTGACACAACTGACAATGCTTTCCAAACTTAATTCAGAGACTATTTTGTAAGAGCTTCCTCTTTTCCTCAACTTTTATCACTCAAGCATCTTCCCCCACTATCTTCTCCTTCATCTCTGTCTCTCATGAAGAAATAGCCCTTCTTCTTCCAAGGCAAACCCCTCTACATCCATCCTTGATCTCATCCCTTCCCATTTGTCAGTAAATTTCCTCTTCTAGTATCAGTCTCTGATCTTCAACCTCTCCTATCTCTTGCCTCCTTCCGTTGGGCCTACAAACACATTCATGTCTCCCCCCTCTCAGAGAACCCTCATTTGATCTGCTTATCCCTGCTAGCTCTATCTCTCTTTGCTTTCTTGGCTAAACTCCTTGAGAAAATTGTCTACAATCAATGTCTCTACTTCCTCTCCTCTCAGTCAGTTCTAAACCCTCAGTAATATGTTTTCCAACTAAATCATTCAACTGAAACTACTCTCTCCAAAGTCACCAATGATCTTTTTAATCAACAAATTTAAGGACTGTTTCTCAGTTCTCATCCTTCTTGACCTTTCTGCAGCCTATGGATACTGTTGATCACCCTCTTCTGTATACTTTCTCTCTTTAGGTTTTTGTGACTCTGCTCTTTCCTGGTTCTCCTCCTACCTGTGTGACCAGTCCCTCACAGTCTCTGAATCCTTCTTCAGATACCCAGCGAAAGGAGGTTATATCCTGGGCTATCTTCTCTATGATGATCTCATCAGTTCCCAATGGATTCAATTATCAACACTACACAGATGATTCTAAGATCTATATTCTCTAGTTGTCCAGTCTCATAACAGCAACTGATGCTTGAACATCTCAAACTGGATGGGCCACAGGCATCTCAAACTCAACTTGTCTAAAACACAACTGATTATCTTCCCCTTCCCCCACAACTCTCTCCTCAATTTTCCTATTAGTGTCAAGGCGATTCCCGTGGTGTCTGCTTTGACTCCTCTCTTAGCCAATCTGTTGCCAAGTCTCCTCTTTTCTACTTTCACAATTGCCCCCTTCCCTTCACTCACACAGCTGCCACCCAACTACAGGCTCTTATCAGCTCTTACTGGAATATTGCAATAGCCTGCTGTTTAGTCTTTCTGCCTCAAGCTTCTCCCCTCTCCAGTCCATGCTCCGCTCAGCTGCCAAAGTAATCTTCCCAAATTGTAAGTCTGACCATGTCACCTCCCCTTCCCCTACTCAATAAATCACTGGGACTCCCAATTACCTCCATGATAAAAATATAAGCTCCTCTGTTTTGGCCTTTATAATATGACCCCTTCCTATCTGTCCAGTCTTCTTATATTTTACTCCCCTCAAATGTACTCTGTGATCTAGTGACAACAGTTAATATTATCAGTCAATAAGCATTTATTAAGCATCTACTATGTGCTAGGCACTGTGCTAAAAGCAAAAGGCAGGTTCTTCCCTCTAGGAGCTCACAGTCTAGTGACAGTGGTCTTCTTGTCATTCCTGGCACATGATACTCTACCTCCCAACTCCATGCTTATTCACTAACTGTCCCACATTCCTAGGATGCTCTCCCCCTCCCCTATCTCTGCCTCCTGCCTTTCCCGGTTGTCTTCAGCACAGCTCAAATTTTACTTTCTTTGAGGTCTTTCCTGGTTTCCCCCCTCCCCCTAAGATTACCTCTAATTTAACCTGTATGTATTTTACATGTACATAATTGTTTGCATGTTTTCACCCTTATAAGAATATGAGCTTCTTAGGGGCAGGGACCACATTTTTTGGGTTGCCTTTTCTTTTTATCCCCAGCATTTAGCACTGTTCCTGAACACAGTGAGCATTTAATAAATTCTTGTTGATTGATGGAGATCTATAGTCTACTATCTTACTGTATTCCAAGTCTCTCAAGCCTGTTACAGCCCTTGAGAGCTTCAGGGTGACCTTCAAAGTATTTTAGGAGGAATTAATAGTCTCCATCAGATGTGGAAAGGACCTCTGATTGTCAGTGTAATGAATTCCCTCCTCAGCTGTGGGTATGAAACTTCCTTAATGATTTAAGATCAAGCCCTACCAAATTACCTGGGGCACAGAAATGATTTGTCCATGTTCCTTTAACAAGTAAGATATCAGAGTCAGGATTTGAACCCAGATGTTCCTGATTCCAGGCTTAGCACTCTAGCCCCCTAAACCCTGGTGCTTGTCCAGCCACCTTATCATTGTTTTTCCAAAAGTAAAGTCTTTATTATTCATTTCTTTGGGTCAGATTCATAGACTGCTATATTAGAAGGTAGGTATTCCTCAATGAAAGAAATCAAAGTGTCAGAACAAGACTTGTTTTCCCCCTCAAGGAAAGAATGGTTAAAAGAAGCAAATCTGTCTTATAGAGAAAAGCTTGGTGGCATTGCCCTTTTAAGAAGGCTAATATTTTGGTTCCGAGTTGTTTTTTTTCCCCTTCTACTCTGTGTCTCTCTTTCATTCCCAGGCTGATGTAATGCCTTAGTAAGTTTGAGACAGAGTCACATGGTGGCCTCTGAGGTCGGAGTCCCGGGAAGCTTTCGGTCTGGTTTTCTTTATGTTTGATCTTGAGGTTGTCCGGCCTGTGTTGAGTGTGTGTCACGACGAACGTGCTGCTTATTATGTAGGATTTTTAATGCGCTTGTTGTGGGGTATCTTTGGATCCTAGAGACTGGCTTCTCTTACTTGGTCTGTCAATACTACAGGTTGCTATGTACATGCTTTGTGGCTGGGAGGCTGGGGAGAACACCCCGAGTTCTCATCCCTGGGCTTCGTTGGGGAAGCTCAATGTTTCAATCGGTGGGTGTTTTCGGGCGCTCTTATTTTGCTGGCCAGAGGCTGTGTTCATTAGAGGTTTTATGAAGCTTGCAGACCTGCTCCTGACGGCCCCTAGGATTCGCTCTGATCTGGGTCTGTTGGCTTATGTGTCTGTTGTGTGCTACGGCTTGGGCAGAAGGTCTGTATACATTAAGAACGGATAGAGGAGGCAGGGTCTTACAAATCTGTCCTTGTTTTTTGTTTTGTTTTGCTTGTTTTGTTTTTGGGGGGAGTGGAAGGGAACTACTTTCCCTTACCAAGAGAAGAGGAAGAGAGAGCCCAGGATAGGGTATTAATCGAGGTTCTCCTTTTTTTTTCTCCTGATGTAACTGGTCTGGAAAGGCTTGACAAACAATTAACAATCCTCCCTCTCAGCTGCTGTTTCCCAAAATAAAGCAGAG